TAAATCAAAAAAAGTTGTCACTCTATTCCTTGGGACAAGACCCGTTAACCCCATCTTTCGTTCAAAAACTCTTGGAACAATTATGTATGGGATGGATCGACTGAAAACACAAGCTTCGCTTTTGTCCTGAGAAAATGGTGCGCTCAAGTTAACAGATTTTTGGAAAGTACAAATAGTTGATTGCGTGCAATTGAAGGACGTATGACACAAACCGACGGGGGTTAACTTTTTTACGTTTTTTTTTTATATATATATTTTTCATTAATCCCCCACACGATGCAATCTCTATGATGTGAGCACAATTTTTAGATATAAAACTTCAGGGATAGAGACATCGAAGGTTTATATTGTGCACATGTGTACGAGAAGCCGATCGATTATTTGTTGATCTCAACTGTGACGATTGAAGCCATGGATAGAGAAGTAAATTGTCGAACACATTGAATAACTGCATTTTAATTGACAGCCATCAACAACTACAAGCTACAATCCGTTAACGATTTTTAATTTTGAAAAAAATTTCACTGGACTTTTTTACAATTATCATCTTTCAATCGTTGAAAAATGGCCTCGAGCAAATTTACGCGTCAAGATCATTATTTTTCTATGTGATTGCACCCGAATCCCGGGCACACACGCGTACCATAGGCTCAACTGTGGCCGAGCCTCGAGTCAAATTTCTCGAATGAAAAACCTTTACAAGGCAATGAAATTTCGTGCAGAAGCAAATACACGTCGAGAGATATACTCCCGTCGCTATATATATCAGAAGAAAAAAAAACAGTACGAGGAAACGTTGAAAAGGACTCGGAAACTCGAACAAGTACCCTTAATGTGCTTGCTTATATATAAAGCGACAGATCCTGAGTGAATTGGGACTAGGTTGGTGCAAAGGTGTATGTGTTACACGTAAAAAAGTAGCGGGGCGCAGGTGAGCTGTAAAACTGTAAACTTTACGTACACAACTTTGGAAACAAATAAAGCGCGTGTGCGTTTCACCTATCCCCGTTATACATGTATGTATAATATATGTGTGTATTTGCAGGCAAAGGACAGTGGCGCGCGACGTCTGTAGTTTGTACTCGCGCCGCGTGACATACTGACACACGCTGCAGCCTGCGTCGTCGTATACTTACGTGGCTGCTGGTGGGGTGGTACGTTATAGGTACGGCACAAAAACACTATTATATATATATGTGTGTGTGTGTATTCTGGAGTCTCGACCCGCCGCGCTGGCAGATGCAACAGATCGCTCCTATATTTCCAGAAATGTGCTAGTCTTGCCGCACTCCACGTATGTATGCTGCACCAACACTCTTGCAATATCGATCACTTCATCTCACGTGCGCGTGGATGCCGCTTATACCCATACTGCCCTACCTATGCAGAGCTCCTCTTTTTATCCATCGGATTAAACAGCGCGTGCCTTGACGATCTCAATGGGCGCTACCAACCACTTCAATTCTACTCTAACGTACCCTCACATTCAAATGTAATAACAAATCTTGTTTACTTAATCAATTAATTATCCTTTGCAAAAATATATTATTTCATGCAATAAATAAATGATAAAATCGAAATGTCACTTCAGCATCCAACTAATAATCATTATCTTTTAACAACTGTGGCTATTGTTATTTTTTATCAATTAAATGGTCCTGTCGTCTAAATGACAATCTAATGGCTAGATTGTAAATGAAAAGAGAATAAAAAAAATTAAAATTTCTATATTACACTGAAAAAAATATTTGACCCGATCAACCAAGGCTTCATTGTTTCGATGAAATTATTTCTTCGTGGACAATCAATTGTTTAATTTCATTGTTACTATGAAATATTCTATTAAAATTTACAAAATATTTAACAGAAACAAACTATTAATTTGAATAATACACATCATATAGTAAAATCAATTAAACATTTCGCTGATTTGATGAAATATTTCAAAAATTTTAATAAAATAATTTCATTTGTTCGATTTCATATTTAAAATAGATTAAAAAAGAAATTCTTATTTTTTTGGTTTCGACTCCTTTGGATTCCTTCACGCTGATATCGCTAAACGGTCATTATTTCATATCTTAGATTTAATGAAATGATTTTTTTGTTTATACATACTTTTATAATTTTTCTCTCTCTCTATATTCATTCAATTATATAAAGTTAAATTATTTTTGAATTACTTATAACTAATTGTACTTTATAACTCTTTTAATATGCGTGAGTTGTTTGAAGTACTATACGTTGCATGTGCTAAAAATTTGTCAATAAAGTCAAAAAATGGGAAATAAAAGATGATGATAGAACTCGCGTTTTAACGCCTATACACTGGCAAATTTAGGCACATCGGCGTCATTGTGCACGAATGCGTGTCAATTTTTTGCAACCAAAAAGTGTGCAGACAAGATCTCTCTATCTCACTTATGGTCGCGCGTGACTCTTCGTTTAGAAAAAAGCTTCACTGAGATCCAGTTTTAGGTAAAAGGGGTTCACAAATATTCGCTCTCTTTCTCTCATTTAGGCTATGTTATACATATTTTTGGCCTTCGCGCAACCATATGTCGAAAATTGGCCGTTTCCGCAAGAAAAAAATTTTTTTTATGAATTTCGACGTGTGCGCGTCACACACACAGACGATGCTTCATTTGAATACATGTATTTAATATGCATACAGCTAAACAGTTACAAGGCATCTAATATAGTGAAAAAGTATTTCGCAACAAGCTACGTTCTGCTGTTTTTTGTTTTTTGTTTTTTTTGGTATGTTATTGTTGTAATGTGTAATGGGCGAACACACGCATGCAGAGCTGATGCGGAATATGTCAACGAGGATGCGGTTCGACTCGCGTGCATAATGTTGGTCAAGGGGCGGTTTTCTCAACTATTCTGTCGAAATGCGCAACTCTTCATATAATGTGTATAACAACATTGACCTCGCTTTTTCGTAATGATACGTCTGCAACTTTCAATTTAATTTTTAAGAATGTGTATTTTTTGTGCATGTGGCGGGCGGCGCATATTATGAGCTCACCACGAGGTCCAAACACTTAACTTGATCTCTAAAGTTTCAAGTTCGAGTGATGATAAAATGTAAGATGTACAAAAGTAAATTTTATATGGTACTGTATTAATGTAAAAGGGACATGGAATTTCGGCATTCATCTCTAAATATTTTTAGCTATTATTATAGGAAATGCATAATTAAGCTTTAATTAATTGAGAATATTACGGATCTTATTTTCGTCGAAAGAAATTATGATGCGAAATTAGGGATTGTGCAGTTCATGAAGGCAGAAAAATTTATAATTTACCTGAACGGTTTTGTTAGAAGTGGTATACGCAACTGCGCGTGCCAATTCTGATTTCATTTTATATTCATTTTTTTACATATAGAGAGATATTTTAGACATAAATATCTGTCTGGAGTGCATATACGTACAAGGTATATAAGGCGCGCGACATCTGTGGAGTTGCCTTAGCTCTCGTATGTGACCTAGTCTTTGAAAAGGAATGAAAAGAAACTGTATAATCTCTCGCTCTGCGATATATCACCCGAGGCGCATAGTTCGCGCATTTTTTTTTCGCTCTTTCTATGTGCACGCGCGTAAGACTATTTCCCCCTGCTTCATTCTGCGTTACAATATATGTGTGATGTATAATATGTATATAATTATACACACAGGTATATAAAACATATATGAAATGAAGCGAAAGAGTAGAGACGAACGAATGGTTTGTATATATATTATTCGCGTGTGCTGTATGTGTGCAGAAACGCAATGGCCTCGACACGCTTCCTCTAATCATCACTCGCTCGCGCGTATCCAGTTCTTATTCATTCTATCGCGGGGGACCATATGGTCAATCGACCATCACGGATTTCTCGAGATCAAAAAAAAGGAGAGAGGAATGAAATTCGATCCATAAAATTGAACGGTAAGCTCTGTAAGCTAATAACTTCAAGCGTTATTTTCTAGATTTGGAACCAGCAACATTCTACAAATTCATCGAATGAAATAAATAAAACTCGAGCTTTTATCCGAATGACGAATGCAGCGATGAACGATTATATGCTTTGCGTTCAGTCAGCTAACAACTATGCATTAAAAAAGCTTTGTACACGTATTTTTTTCTCTTCGAACACAACCCGACCTACCTTCAACTCCTTGGTTGGATAAGGAAAAAAAAAACAATTCACGAGTCTGGAGTTGTTTGAAGTCAATAAAAGGAGCAGAATAATCATTACAGCCGGCGCTGTGGTCATAATGAGGCCAAAAATTTTGCACGCGAATAAGAAAAAAGACGAACGAACGTGAGAGAAGAGAAAGAGAGAAAGAGAGAGAGAGAGAGAAGGCAGGATCGTCTGTTTCTGGGCCTGATGCCATGTAAACGCATACACACGTAATATATATAGTGCTGCATATTGCGCCTCGTTGTTGTCTAGGCACGTGACGACAGGTGTTGCGGGCACGCGTCGCTTCTTTCCCGCTGCTCTGACCTTCAGACGCGGCACACAACACTCAAGCTCGCACTCACACATCCATGCACATAGACTTTATCTCTTTCTCTTTCTGCGTCTGTTTATATCTTCTGGGGTTCGACTATGTGTGCCCAAGCACGTAGAAAAATGCGACTGTAAATGTAAAGGAGAGAGAAAAATAGAGAGAGACGCATCGACGGCAGTATAAAAAAGGAAGCTAAGCCTATCCACGCTTTATGATCAGTCTCGGCACCCGTGGCTAAGCGATAAGGACCTGCTGGAGAGTCTCATATGAGGCGCGCATTTGTTGGCACAGCTGTACATGAATTAATCCTCAGCTGCTATCTTTCCAATCGTCCTCGTGGATTTTCTACTGCAAAAAACTAATGAACGAAATAATTTGAGTTATGCAGCATTGCACAGAGTACATGCCTTAAAATTGTCGCACGTTATAATACATGCATATAAGCTAGATCCAGATTTGATGAAGGATATTTATAAGATAAAATGATTGCTTTCATTGCTTTTACATATTTATTTTGCATTAATAACCCTGTGAACAATATTAACACAGTTATCTGTCTAGTGGCATTCTAAATGGATACAGAAAAGAAGTCGTAGGCAAAGGCCCATATCCCCATATTATACAGTTTGAACCTTGAACGTGTATATTACGCCATCGTCACCTAAATGCATCGAAGATAGCATGAGGCACATTAATATAATATCGTTTATTACTAGTTTATATAAATTTATGTATAGCAGCTTCAAGGAATTGAGTTGTTTGTCCAGTTGCGAGACTAATTACTCAATTAGGCAAAGTTCTAACATGAAGAGTTTGTGAAAGTCTGCCCCCGTCATTTTGTCTGTAAAATAATCGATGATTCTGGCTTACTTCTTTGCGACAGACTCGCTAGATTTCACAAATATGTAATATTTAATGCAACTCACTTTTGTCAATTTTTGACGCATCTGGCAGGCAAAGGTCGCTCGACGCACCTATAACCACTTCGACACCGAAGTCCGGAACAATTGCGTAAGCATTGGCCATTTTGACAGGTAGTAGCAGCGTTACAGAGTACGGTGGCGCACGAAGAGGCACCTTGTGCAGCGGCGGGCTCCCAGATCAGTGCCAATGCCACCAGTAGCAAAAAAACTGCTATTTTCATCCTTACTTCGTAATGATGGCTTCGTAATGAAAACTGCGATTACTCGAGGAAAAATGACTCTTTTTTATCGTGCACTCCGAATGAGGAAATTCGTCGTACGTGTAGTTGTTTTCTGATCGAATTGACTGATACTACACTATCTTACGGATTAGAGCATTTGCGCGATTCAAAGAAAACTTTTCGCGGAACAAACAATCTTAATTCTCTCTCTCTCGCTTGACATTGTGTACTGCGCGTGAAGAATTGTATATTCTCTGGCAAATATTTCACGCATCTGTATTTGTGGAATATAACTCGAGAGCAGTGCGCAAGCGATAAGTATTTGTGGTAAAAAACATTTAGCCAATTTTCAAGACGTTCATGCCGTTTTTCGAGTTTAAAGAAAAGAAAGAGCGAAAAGCAGCCTGCGTTGGACTTGGGTACATGCAGGAGAAGCAATTTTCTCTATAAGCCGAGGGTATCTTCTAAACGGCCGCAACGAAGACATTAGGGCTCTGTAGCCGCGAGAGCTCGACAGGAGCATCGATGCTCGTCATTACGTACTACTTAAGGCAGTACCTATGCGCGTGCTGAATTATAGAGGCTCGCGCGTATTATATAGCCCGGCGCGTTTAGCGGAGAGCGTTACAAAAGTGCGCGCAGGTGCCAAGGCCCGATGTCAATTAATGTTAAGTTCCAAAAGTCTATGGCACCTGCGGCCCTAGCCATGCCGCTCCTGATTCAACGTCCTCGACTCGTTGCTATACGCGGAAAAAACTCCATATACATGTACGAAGCGCTCGTTTTTCGCGCAAATATATAACAAGATGATCCTCGTACTTATAAGCAAGCAAGCAAGCAAGCAATCAAGCAGAGCGGCAACTACGCATAGAGGCAGGTGCATTCGCGGCGCCTAATGCTCCATGCTTTTTCCTTGCTTGCATGCACTCTTCCGCGTCCAAAGCTTCAAATCTTTAATACTTCGTCACGGCTTGGACGCGCTGCGATGTTGAGCGTGGTATTTTTCCTTTCCTCTTTTACTCCACACTAAAGAAACTCGTGATTTGAGTTAGCTTAAAATGTTGTCCGATACAAATTGCCCTTTTATTTGTCTGCGTGCTTTTAGGCGATTCGAGTAAACTGAATCGTATAGAACTTTAAGGAAGTTAAGCGACAGCCATGCGCAGCTTGTATCGGACGAATCGATTTTTTCATTGTCTATAATAATTTTGTTTACAATTTTTTCGCGTAAATCAACGATGTTAGCTAGCTGTCTTGGCTCCACTTGTGAGCGGCCAACGGACAAGATGCTCGATTTGATACGGACACAAGCATGGCTCCGACAATACCCTCATGCGTAGAAGAGATTATAAATCCGTCGCTTACTCAGTGTTAAAAAAAAAGAAATAATCGTCGGCGGTGACTAGCGAGTATCGGTTGGCATTGTCGTAAAATATACGCATATAAATCGAGCACGAGCGAAAGGATAGAGAGAAAAAAGGCTGCTCTGCGTAGTAGTGCGCCCAGCAGTAAGTGCGAGTGCTACGCAGAGTTAAGGCTTCGGGGAAAAAAATGCTGTGCCCAGAGACGCTTTACCCCTATCGTTCGTGAGGGGGTAAAAGTTGAGAGACAGGAGCAGGAAGCAATTCTGCTGCTAGCTCATATACATGCCGCGCGTCTGCGTTGGAATACATAAGGAGCGTGTGCGTGTGTGCGTGGCGAGGGAGCTTGTGCCATGCTACTGCTTTATATACCAGTGCCGATGTAGCTGCTGGCGCTGCTGCCGCCGCCGCTGGACGCGGACGCGCGCAAAGGAAAAAAAGAGTTAATATTGATCCGCTTTTTTTCATTTCAACGTCACCCCCTGCGTTTCTTTACCCTCGCTTTTTTTTCGTTCGTTTCGCGGGGGTAGAAGCTGCTGCTGTGCTCACGGCAGCAGCTATACATATACATGCACGTATATATAGGAGCTGGGCTCAGAGCGAAGAATTAGTGTTTCTATAGCAACAACTCGGGACACGCAAGCTACTGTCTGCCGGCGGCGCACCGCGCCTAGTTCCTTATACCTCGTGCGTATATATATATATAGAAAGAGAGAGAGAGAGAAAAAGATAGGCTTACACAGCTATCTACGCATCCTTGCCGCGGGTGTAACGAGCGAACCAAGATGCTCCTCTCCATCGTCTAGTCGCGCCTGCGACATTCCGCGTTATGTATTCCACGAGCCCATCTACGCGTGTGGACAGCGGCTCCTGTAGCACAAGGCGCTTTTTCACCTCTTGTCCGAGTCTAAGACCTCGTTAAAAATCTTCGACTTAATTACACTCTCGTTCACTCGAGTTGCTATCGTAATAGCTGCTCCTGATAATCAACACTTTTCATTCCCTCTTGAGCGGGAGCAGTCTTAATGAGCCTGAATCTCGACGCTCTGTTTTCAATCAGCTGCCCTCGAGGCAGCAACAGTATACCGCCAGTTCATCTTAAAAATGGTCCTTCAATCGGTAGATATATATTATCAGGACCGAGAACAAAGAAAATGACCAAGATACATTTCTTCTCTTTCTCTTAGATATGATGGTGAAGAAGGGGAAAAATTTCGCTCGTCGGCGGGAGAAAGTAAATAAGGCAAGGGTTGCCACTTGCGCGCCAAGTTCCTATATATATACAAGGATAGATTCAAACGCTCGATATTGGCTCTCGCTCGAGTTGAAATTTATAATACACGAAAATAATATTATATATATACACACCGCGCCCCTCGCGTCCGAGGAAAACACAAACTAAGCGAGCTGGCAATCGATATTGCTGGAATTCTAGCAAATGGATTTATGAAGATGGGTCGAGAATTTCGAAATATAGCGTCACGCTACAGCCATCCCTCAGACATTCTTGTACTTGTGTGCATGAATATTATTGAGCCGTACCCCCTTCGTACAAGTGCTCGATTGTTTAGCAAGCGAATACTTTTCGCGAAAAATACAATTAATATAACCATTTAAAAATATTAATAAATTATTTATCTGTGAAAATTTAGAATTGATATTCATACACATCCAACCAATTATGACATAAATTACAAGCAGGAATTAGCTGCTAAAATTATTAATTCTTTTTCATATTCTCTTTCTCGCTTATATTGTTTTGTGAGGCGCTGGTTGAAGACTACGGATACCTTTGTTGAAGTTGGAGACGTATGTATACTTATTTTGAGATAATTTGCCAGTTTAATACTTTACACGACGGATTTCGCGTAACAGCAGCACTTCATCTGAAAACAAAGGAATTACTTATTTAAATAATAATGTTTGTGCGTAAAATAGATCGCACCCACTTTATTCTTTAACGCAATGCGGCTTTTCTCCTGGATTTTGAACACATTTCGTACCCCGAATACAATTTACAGTTTTACACGTTAAAATTTGAGATGTGCTCAAATGTAAAGCAACCACTAATAAAACCGCAATGAAGAAAATGTTTGACACCAAAAACTTCATGATCGAGTAATTTTTTCCTTGTACGCGTAAAACAATTGTACTTGTAAAAGTTTGATTTCGTTTGCTTCAGCATGCTCTTATAGGCTCTAAGTTGGTTCTGCTCATTTGTTAAAGTATTAAAATTGAAGATAATGAATCTTGTGCAAATGTATATTCATAAATAATTACTTTTAGATTATATTTTCAAAAAAATGGCAAAGTATACTTTGATGTTTATGATAAGATATATTCTTTGCTTTCAAAATATTCCATTATGTTTGTAAAAAGAAACAATAGTAACCCTTGGTTCCTATTTTCACTTCTATTTGGCAGTGGTGGTGGTGGTTGTGCATTTTCATACGGTTGTACGTCGTTTACGCCAATACATCCCGAAGAAGTACAAACGTAGCCGGGGCCACATGGTTTGCGTATGTTGCAAAAATCTTTGCCGTTTGCTTCGGTCAACTGCGACAGCGCAAAAATTCCTAGCAACGGGATGAAGCACTTGAAGAATTTCATGTTTTTCGTTCGAAATTCGTATGAATAGTTACAAATGAGCGCAGAAATGTATTAAAATGATAAAGAATCCAATCGCATTGACTCGATACTAATTTTAATTTTGCATGACGAAAAGTCGTTATTATGATTACGAAAGCAATTGCGCGAAACCATATTGGCCAATTAAAGTTAAACTTGAATTAACTTTGAAAATGGTAATTATTTTGAGTCATTTGATTGATTCACTATGCAGTTAGTAAACAATATAAGTTTTCTTATATTTTTGTACCTACCTATTTGTGATGGTATTTGTTGAAATTAAATTAGACCAATTAGCACTAAATCTGAGTTCAAATTTAATTGTATACCAACTTGGCGGATTTAATTGACGAAAATGTAATATACCCCTATAATAACTAGGTGTCTATATAATGGGATAAAAATACGCGTAGCCAAATTTCTATTTACTTTTCGATTTTAACGAGGCAATCGATCATATACGTACATAGAAAAAGCAGACCCTAGCATGAGAGAAAGGGTTAATAAGTTAGCTACGCTGAAATCAGGAAGTGGAACGACCATCGACACGCAATTCTGCTGTAACGAGTTTTTCTATGATCCTTAGTTACGAAAGCGAAATCTGCCGCACTGCTCGCCTATTCTCTGAAAAAAAATCAATGATATCGATTACATCGACTGCACATGCATGGCATATATGTACAAGCAAGCCGTAGGGTTCAAGGCCGTTCGAACTGGAATCGAATGTGTGTGCGTACTACCTCCAATAGAGATTTATTATATGTGAGAGATTCGTGAGCTAGTGTGTGTGCTGCTTCGAGTTTAAAAAAGAAACGAAATAGATTCGGGTTCCTATTGAATCGTCAATCCCCGGGTGTTTCTACTTCTATCAGCTACGTTAGGCGTGTACTCGTTTTCAAAAGGGTTAACGATTGATTTTTTTACTAAAGGGGATCTAATTCTATCGGACTGAACGAGTATGTGCAGCTACTTAATTCCTTTTTTTGAACGGCCTTTTCCAAATTGCCCTTTTTCGTATCAAAATCTTGCACTCGTTGAAATTTTTATCAAATAAATATAAAGCCTACCAGTCAAATGATCGATTAAATTTTAGTAGATGAATAAAACGATAAAATATAATTTATACAAAATTAATATTGAAAATATTTAAAATAGTTTAACCTTCAACATTGTTGCTATTAGATTGTTACTTGTAATTCATTAGATATTTTACATTAAACTTTGCTTTTATGCCTTATCTATTTTTAAATAATCAAATCTATCTTTTATTTTTTACCAGAAAACTGAGGTAAAAATCTGTCGAAAATCTATTTTGGTTTATTTTTATGACTTTTATTTAATCCTTTGCGAACGAGTTTAAAATTGAGCAATCGAGCCGTTTGGCTGCTTGTACGTAGCACTATGACATTATTCACATTTTTACCCATATAAGGCAAAAAATTTAGATTTTCAGAAAAAAAATCCGTCACATAAAGCTAGGGAACCCCTTAATGTCAAAAGAAAACTTTGACCGCATTTTTTTTGAGTAAATGTTTTTGTGCTTGGCGCATCCTGCAGCAAAAAGTACTTGACCAACCCTTCTAAAATTCTTGTTGCTTTAATAGCCATATATGTGGCTATCGTTGTAACCTCTAAAATTTCAAGAACTCCGCGTCTTAGTATTTTTTGACAAGCGCAAAATCGACAAAAAAGCCTCTTTTTCAT